AATTTTTTTTATAAATCCAACTTGGCGGAATAGGTTAACCATACAAGGCCCTATTTTCAAAAGGGAAATTACTGGAAAAATGGATGGCACATTTATATAACTTGGCAATATCATGTACATTGTATTGATAAGTAAGTGTGAAAATTATTACGCCATTAGTTCAGATAGAACATAAGATATTTCCAACTTGCCGGTTTAGGTTTACCATTATTCATTTTCTAGTGCTGAAAATAGCAACCCCAACTGGAAAGCCTACAGCTTAAGAAATTAGCGTAAAAATCGATAGTGTGTTCATAAAATTGATTGTAAAACAATCAATTTTAATATTGACCATTATAAAAGTTATATGAAATAAATCAGTGATAAATTGTCTTCAAAATGATATAAAATTCATTATTCATGCATAATATGCATTTTAATCATTATCAGTTGATCTTAATATACAGGTGTATTTTCGGCCGATTTTACAAAACCCGATTGTGGACACGCGCTTGTCACATGTATGCCGCATGACCTTATTTGCGGGTCATTTGTTGCTAATTAATTTTCATGATTTTTTGCAACCAATCAGAAATATGTTTACACTTCATCCCGGAATGTCATTTAAATATGTTTACAAACAAAAAAGTTATGACGCCCGATACTCACCGACGATTTGCTTGAAAACTATCGGTAAGTGAAGAAAAACGAATAGTGTTCTATAAAATAAAATGAATTATCTTAAAATGATTCATAAATCATAAAATTATGTTGCCATTAAAGCACCCGTATCTACGATTAAATACAGCGAGTTGTGGAAATTCAACAGTCCATCAGAGTCCGCCATTTTGAATTCACCGATGCGGTGAAATCCGATTATTTCCATTACTGATTTATCACGTAAAAACGAGTAACAAAATAAAATTATGGTAGATAAAGTCTTGGTTTATAATAAAATATATCAATATATAATTATTTTTTTAAATATTAGCGCATTTGTCTTTAAAATTGAGATATATGTTTCGGCGGGCACCTGCTCAGTTTCGGCCAATTTTCAAATTCTAAAAAGTTTTGTTTTTTACCAATGCTTCAGGTTTCAATGAGATATCGTATATTAAATAAGGAAATCCTTTTTTATTTAAATATTAAATTATTTTTTTACGGTTTTATAATTAATTAAAGCAGAAATTTATTTCTAATGAGCAATTTACATGGTGAATACTAACACTATCAGCAGGGTCGACCTGCTGTCAATGACAGTTTTGACTGAAAAAAATCTGTTAACCTCTTCGCTCATATACATAGGATAAATAATATTTTTAAAACAATGTATTTAAACTTATTTTGCCAGCATTTCTTTTTAATTCATGTATGATTTATTATAATCACTAACTTTATACTTTATTTTTTTCCAGGTGCATGACTGACCGTGAAAAGGGCCATAACTTGGTGCAAATGGAAGCCATAGTTATGTAACTTGCCCAGATCATATACTTTGTATGGATTAGTAAGTGTGTAAATTATGAAGCCATTGGTACAGGTAGAACTTAAGAAAAATCCAACTTGCCATTCTAGGTTAACCTAGTACGGACAGACGAACAGACGGATGGACGTACCACTTAAATGGACTCAAGGGCCATTTCTTTTGTTATTTTCTTTTGTTTAATAGAGGGTCATGGCCCCTTATTCTATTGTTATGGAATGAACTCTATTGTTCTCTTTTGTTCTGTTTACTGTTAGATGGCCCCCTAACCCAATTTGGTTGCTCGGACAGACGTTCCAACATTTTGGGTTTAGGGACTATTTTCTTTGTTATTTTCTTTGTTTTCTTAAGGGCTACTAGCCCATAAACCCTTTGATCACGGAATGAACCTATTGTTCTCTTTTGTTCTCTTACTGTTACATAGCCCCTAAACCCAAAATGTTTGCTCAGACAGACAGACGGACGTTCTTACATTTGTATTCGTGTTGGGTATTTTACTGTGTAAAAAAAGTACCCAACAATCAAAGAAAATACCCAACGATACATACGGAGTGAGTAGGATTGGTAGTTGTTGGGTATTCAGTACCCAACACATACCCCCTCGTGCTCTTGGACAGACAGTTCAATTACTATAGGTCAAATATTTTTTTGGCTACGCATGCCCAAGTTGAAAACTAAAAATCTTTTATTAAGTAAATGGCAAATACTACAAATACTGAATAAATCCACAAGAAAACCCCAAGGTGCATAAGTACACATGCTGACCAACATTCTTGTAAACTTTCAGGCCTACAGGTCAAATACTTTTTGAGTTACGTTAAACACAAGTTGAATATTGTAAATTTTTACTAAGTCAAGGGCAATAACTCTAAAAGTACTAAAAACATCCACTTGAAAATACCCAGGTGCACAACAACACATGCTGAGCAAAATTCTTGTAAGGTTTCATGACTCTAAGTCAAATACTTTTTGAGTTACATGCGACACAAGTTGAAAATTGGAAATTTTTACTAAGTCAAGGGCAATAACTCTTAAAATACTAAAAGTATCCACACGAAAATACCCAGGTGCAGAACTACACATCTCATAAACTTTTTGAGTTATGCTTTGGACAAAAATTAAGTTTGAAAAATAACAAGGGCAATAACTGAAAAATTATGCAGGGTAGAGTTATCATTCTTATGCACTGCACTCCTCCTCAATGTGATCTATCCACCTATGAAGTTTCAAGTTGATATCTCAAATATTTTTGAGATATGCTCGGGACAAAAATGTTGGACGGAAGGACGGACGGAAGGAGGGAAGGACGGACAGACAGAGACTATTTTATATCCCCCGCCGCCTTTCGGAGAGGGATAAAAATAGACACAAAACATGTCTCCAGATGGCGTCTAACATGTCTCCCAACTTCTCCCTAAAGTCTCCTCACTTCACCCTAAATCGGCTGGAGGGAGAAGTCACTTCTCCCTAAAAATTTTACCTAGCTCAAGCCCTGTTCATGCTAAATATCTAAGCTCTAGCTCTTTTATTTTTTTAGAAGAAGACTTTTTTTGTTTTTACTATATACATATCAGGCAAATTAATGACCCCCCCCCCCCCCCAGGTGGGGCCAATTTTGACCCCAGGGCGTTTTTCTGATATCTATGCTTAAGCTCCTTCATTTTATTACAAGAAGATTTTTTACGTTTTTTCTTTCCGTTGCCATGACAACCAGAAAATAGCATGGAATGGAAATCATTGAACATTTTTTAGAGTTCCATGCCAGGAACATTTCTGCCTAGTTTAAACAATACTGGCCTACTACTGAAGCTATTAAGCGAAAACTGAATTTCTACTTTTTGCAACAGTGACCTTGACCTCTGCGTAGCAATCCCAAGCTGCCTCTTGATATAAGCTACCCATACACTAAGTTTGGTGTCAATAGGCTAAAGCAAACTCAACTTATTCAGTGGAAACTGAACTTCTATCTCTAGCAACAGTGACCTTGACCTTGATCACAGACACCTTGCCGGTATTGATAAGTAAGGAAATTATATAGCCATTCATATAGAAAGAACTTAAGATATATCAAACTTTCCCGGCAAATGCCGGTATTGATTAGTGTGGAAATTATGAAGCCATTAGCAAAGATAGAACTTCAGATATATCCAATTTGCCAGTTAAGGTTAACCAAATTTGTTTTTAAAATGCTGAAAAGGGCAATAACTTGGTAAAAATAGAAGCCATAGTTAAGTAACTTGCCCAGATCATGTACTTGTATTGATTGGTAAGTGTATAAATTATGAAGCAAGTTGCAAGTAAGATTTTTCTTAAGTTCTAACATTAGTCTGGATGAAGACTTCAACCCAAGGGCAAGTTTGTCAGTAATCAAATTAGGGATGGCAACGATTACACAAATCAATACTCGAGTACTCGGTCATTTTTCCGATTGAGTACTCTGTTACTCGGATGATTTCCAATGATCTTTAAAGTTTTATCACACAATATCAACACCGTCTGCATGCTACTTTCGTTTTCTATTTTAATTCATAGAATTCGTAACTATAAATAGGATTGCAAGAAATACATATAACAGATATACACATAAGAAATGTCAATGACAGCATTTATTATATACCTATAAATTCTCTCCCTAAAATACAGGATAATTTGGAATTGCATATACGCTTCAACGGATAGAAAATTCCGTATTATGTTAGTGACAAATACGGTACCACAAATGAAAGCGCCGGACTATTTTTGACGTTGTTTCCGATCTTAGCTGTGTATAACATAGCATTTGGAAACAGAAACTAAAATTATTAAAGGCGTGGCCGGTTTTGCAAAAATTACGTATTCATCCGGCGGTCATAAATTTATTTCTTGACAGCTACATTTCAATTTCTGAAATTTCTTATAGAAGTGTAGTTTAATGAAAATTATTTACACTTTAAACGAAAATGTATATAATAAAAGGAAAATTTTCTTGTAAAGGCTTTCTGAGGCTATGCATATTTCTAATCGCACTGTTGGAAAATGGATATCAATTTTCCATCGCTGCTCGTAGCAAAAAAAAGTGTCTGAAAGCTACTACAACATAATATTCCGTATATATTTATGTTTTTATAATTAACAAGTTTTGGCTACAAACTGTCACATAATTAAAGGTGATTAAATATCATTAGAGGCCGAATGACATAAACGACACAGGACCGTGTTCAATCCCATACGCGTGTCAAACTGCTGATCGCCTAGTTAAATTTACGATATCATGTTCACACCTCTGCAAGGATGTTTTGATTGCATTTAGCAAGTATTTATACAGATACGTGTACATCTCCGAATTTCTGAACTAATTGAATACACCAATCTTTCTAAATCGCAAAAAAGTAGAAATTAAATTTTTTTTTTATCGAGTAATCGAATATCAATTTTGTTAACCGATATTCGGACGTTCAATCGAGTACTCGGTTAACCGGTTACTCGTTGCCATCCCTAAATCAAATAAATATATTAGTTCAGATAAAAAGGTCATATCAGTGTAAATATGTTTTCTTACCAACACCAAATGATTCAAGGTCTGTTATATCTTCACCAGCTTGTGATGGATGATAATTCTCCCCAGGAACAGGACACCAGCAGAGTGAATAAATTTCTTCATCATGACCTCTTAGACGAGAAACTATCATACCGCCTCTTTTAACATCTATCAATGCTATCTGACCAGTCTTGTACCTATTCATTAAATCAATATCAATTTAATGCAGAAATGGCATGAATTATCATACATGATACAAATGATATGCATCATGTATATCATGATGGCCCTTTTATTGCTCAAATGAGTAAACACATCAAAAATACCTCATTATACTTTAAAATAAAGCAATCACTTAGTTTGAGCAGATAGGCTTGAGTCTTCATACCCAGGTTTCCAAATTGCTGAACGATAATGCTCACTGCAGTGATGTTTCAATACCACTATATATAAAACAAGTAGAGTTTTTGATGCTAAAGCATCAAGTTGCCGGATAGAAATATGATTGTATTATCATAAACAAGAGCCGGTTGAACCGGGTGATGCTCCCCGAATAGGTTTTGGACACAGGAAGGTATACCTCTTGTTGTGTCAGAGTTATGTCACAGACAAAGTTCAAAGTGTAAAAACAACCCAAATATTGTGCACGACACATTGTCTAAATATGGTGATCATTTTTGTGAAATAGTTGTAAAATCCGATTTCAAATAACAAAGTTATGCGCCTGACATTATTTTGCTGCAAGGTCATGCTGTGACCTTGACCTTCAACGTAGTGACCTAAATGTTGCATGCGACACGTCGATTCAATATGGTGATCATCTCTGTGAAATAGTTGTTAAATCCGACTTCCAGTAACAAAGTTATGGGCCGGACACGATTTTGCTGCAAGGTCATACCGTGACCTTGACCTTCAAGGTAGCGACCCAAATGTTGCGCGCGACACAATGTCTCATTGTGGTGATCATTTCTGTGAAATAGTTGTAAAATCCGACTTCAAATAATGAAGTTATGTGCCGGACACAATTTTGCTTCAAGGTCATGCTGTGACCTTGACCTTCAAGGTAGCGAGCCAAATGTTGCACGCGAAACATCGTCTCAATATGGTGATCATTTCTGTGGAATATTTTTTAAATCCGACTTCAAATAACAAAGTTATGGACCGGACAGGATTTTGCTGCAAGGTCATGCTGTGACCTTGACCTTCAAGGTAGCGACCCAAATGTTGCACGCGACATGTCGTCTCAATATGGTGATCATTTCTGTGAAATATTTTTAAAATCCAACTTCAAATAACAAAGTTATAGACCGGACACGATTTTGCTGCAAGGTCATGCTGTGACCTTGACCTTCAAGGTAGCGACCCAAATGTTGCGCGACACGTCGTCTCAATATGGTGATCATTTCTGTGAAATATTTTTAAAATCCGACTTCAAATAATGAAGTTATGGACCGGACACGATTTTGCTGCAAGGTCATGTTGTGACCTTGACCTTCAAGGTAGCGACCCAAATGTTGCGCGCGACATGTCGTCTCAATATGGTGATCATTTCTGTGAAATATTTTTAAAATCCGACTTCAAATAATGAAGTTATGGACCGGACACGATTTTGCTGCAAGGTCATGCTGTGACCTTGACCTTCAAGGTAGCGACCCAAATGTTGCGCGCGACACGTCGTCTCAATATGGTGATCATTTCTGTGAAATAATTTTAAAATCCGACTTCAAATAACAAAGTTATGGGCCGGACACGAATTCGGGACGTACGTACGGACGGACAACCCGACGACTATATGCTCCCCCGAAATTTTTCGGGGAGCATAATAAAAGAAAATATCAGTTTAATGGTGTTTGAGTATATAGAAAAGAGGAACAATAAGTTGAGTAATGTTTATTCATAAACACGTTTTCATGTACTTGCCACAATTATATCTTTCTTGCTATAAACTTTTTCAAAGAGTTTTATGCAATTAAATTTATGTTATGTTATAATAAAACATCATATTTGAAGCAAATTTTGTCAAGAAACTGTTATCATTATTAAATAAGCAAGTATTGTTTGGCAATATTTACCCGAGACTCATTAATATTCGGGAGGTGTTTCGTTAGTTTTCATAACTTATCATGATTAATGTTAACGATTTTATTGTAAGTATAATTACATGTATATATCTCAAAAATACTGTTCGATGGCATTGTGGAAAGTATGACTAAGTTGTAACCTAGTAGGGGCAAGTTTGAATCTTGGAAAAATCCTGTTTGTAGTTTTCATAAATTGATTTTTATAATATCTTTAAACTATATGAAACATAAGTTGATAAATCGTGTATTTCATTTCTAGCACTCTTTTATTTCATAATTTTGATAAATGGTCAAGTTTTGCAAAATACAAAAAATGTCATAAAAAAACACATAAAAAATCACTTTATCGAACCTACAGTCTTCAATTTGAAACTAAAGGAAAATCTAACACCTTGTCATCGAGGCTTGTAAAGCAAGTGATATGCTTGTAATTCTACTTGTAATTCTACTTTATACATAATTATACCGTTGTACCATACATATTTTTGCACCATTCATTTATATTTAACACAACTTTTACTCTCTTTTTTCTTGTTTTTTGCAGTAAGTGTAATTTATTTTTTATATGCCACCATATTACACTATATTTTTGAGGTATGTATGTTTGTTTAAAGTGTCCCACTGGGTATATATATTTAACTTAGTCAAGTGTAATTTTTACATGTATACTAAAACAAACTAGAACTGCCACTATCATGGCTTGAATACCCCTGCAAACCACTTTGTCAGAATCAACAGTGGCCATTTAGAGCTCAAGGACAACCTCCCTGCCAAATCTGAGGTTACTAAGCCAGTGCATTGCTAAGTTATGTATTCTACATGCTTCAAATGTGAAAATGTCAAAATCAATACATTGCGGACAGGACATTCTTTAGCAATTGAGAAGAAAAACTTTTTTTGTCAAGGTCCCTGTGACCTTGACCTTTGACCCAGTGACCTCAAAATCAATAGGGGTAACCTTATAGTCATGATCAACATCCATGCCAAATATGAAGACTGTGGGTCAAAGGAATCTTAAGTAAATGGGTGGACAAACTTTTTGAAGTCAAAGTCCCTAAGACCTTGACCTTTGATCCAGTAACCTCAAAATCAAAAGGGGTCATCTACTAATCACGACTAACCTCCATTCCAAATATGAAGACTGTGGGTCATAGGAATCTTAAGTTATTGGGCGGAAAAGCTTTTTGAAGTCAAGGCCCCTGTGACCTTGACCTTTGACCTGGTGACCTCAAAATCAATAGGGGCCAAATATGAAGACTGTGGGTCAAAGGAATCTTAAGTTATAGGGCGGACAAGCTTTTCGAAGTCAAGGCCCCTGTGACCTTGACCTTTGACCTGGTGACCTCAAAGTCAATAGGGGGTCATCTACTAATCATGACTAACCTCCATGCCAAATATGAAGACTGTGGGTCAAAGGAATCTAAGTTATTGGGCGGACAAGCTTTTTGAAGTCAAGGCCCCTGTGACCTTGACCTTTGACCTGGTGACCTCAAAATCAATAGGGGTCATCTACTAATCACGACTTACCTCCATGCCAAATATGAAGACTGTGGGTCAAAGGAATCTTAAGTTATAGAGCGGACAAGCTTTTTGAAGTCAAGGCCCCTGTGACCTTGACCTTTGACCTGGTGACCTCAAAATCAATAGGGGTCATCTACTAATCACGACTTACCTCCATGCCAAATATGAAGACTGTAGGTCAAAGGAATCTTAAGTTATTGGGCGGGCAAGCTTTTTGAAGTCAAGGCCCCTGTGACCTTGACCTTTGACCTAGTGACCTCAAAATCAATAGGGGTCATCTACTAATCATGACTAACCTCCATGCCAAATATGAAGACTAAGGGTCAAAGGAATCTTAAGTTATTGGGCGGACAAAGAAAAAAACGACGGACAGACGGCCGGATGGAACGGGCGGACGGACAAGCTGATTCCAGTATACCCCCCTTACAACTTTGTTGTGCGGGGGTATAAAAAGAAACTTTCTTCAAGTTTAAATTTAGATATGTTAGTACAGTTTTTCAATCCTTTTGAAACTCAATTTTTACGTTGAATAAACATATCAGGCTTTTATACGGGGATTAGCTGACCGATTTTGCAAACAAAACGAGTTTTACAAGCTACTACATGTATATAAGTGTGTACATCTAAGTGGTACCCTTGAACAACTGGCACATACTTTGCGAAAGTTTCTTTTTTGGTTCAGTATATTTTAGATATAATGATGAATATTTTTTTGTAAAAATTAGCAATGAGTAATCTTAAAATTTTCTCTTACAATTGCCGTGGTTTAAAGGACAGCATCAAGAGGCGTGATGTCATACAAAATATGCTGATATTTTACTTTGTCTGCAAGAAACACATTTTATTAAAGAAAAGAAAATTTATTCTGAATGGAATGGCTTATGTTATTTTAGTCAATGTAAATCTAATGCAAAAGGTGTGGCCATTTTATGTAGAAAAGATTTAGATTTTAAAATAAATTTTGTTAAAACTGATGACTCTGGAAGTTTTATAATGTTAGGTATTTCATTGGATTCCATAAAATTTACATTAATTAATATATATGTACCAAATACAGATAGTCCTAGTTTCTTTAAAAATATTTTTGATATATTAAATTGTTCTGACGAAAATGACTCTCTTATAATTTGTGGAGATTATAATCTTGTTCAAAATCTGATCATTCAATGATATATTTGGATTTTTGTTTTGTTCCGGTTAATCATGGAAAAGGTTTATGGAAATTTAATAATGCTCTTTTACATGACATTGAATTCCTTGATATAATTATTAAGACTAGAAATGTGTCATCATGCCACGGATGCCCCCGCATGCAGCCAAAATTTCAGATGGTGCTTTAATTATTTTTTTCATTTTAAGTTCAAAGCCCTTAAAACTTTTCAATGTTAACAAAAACTATTTCCATACAATGTTCAAAGCACTGAAATTATTCAGTCTTAACCTTTTAGAAATAGCATATTGCATATTTGTAGCCAAAATAATGGCTAAAAGAATGAGTGGTGAAACTGAAAGTTCAAAATTTTTCCAACATTCAGGAAAGATAAGTTTGTCTAAAATCATTGAACCACGACCAAATTCAAACTTAAACTGCTTAT